GGGGGGGATGAAAAACAATTTCCTTCAATTTTAACACTACAAAAGACCTCTCGCCTCCATCCCCTGGATCCGTCTGTGTTTGCAACACTATGTTATTATTGTGGCCGAAAGATATCATGTGTAGATGGACTGAAATGTCTAAAGAAAAGAGCTTAAAACGCCAGATAGCTCATCACTAATTTAACAGCGGTGTAGTGAGCAACCATGTCATTTTCCTTCTTCATTTAGTGGTTATTTTGTTCAATGCTGAGCATCACCTGCGGATTAGCTTTTTGGCGGCCCTGACATTCTTTTCGTCTGCTAGAGGGATTACCGGCTCTGTAGCTCTCCCGACAGAAGCGCTTTGGCAAAGCTTTATTATGGTAATGGTAAGAAATGTATAGAACTGATTGGGACGAAATACTTTTTTACCATTATAATAATCTCACAAATTTATTAATTTTCATTCCTCGCCTTTCTTTTTTTCCCCTTTTTTTTCCGTTGTTTCCTATCATAGCTCCATATATTTCCAAGATTTTCCAAGAAATATAGCGATTTTTATTGGGGGTCTCATTATCTCATCTTTAAGCGTTTTCACTACCGTGATGAGAATCATGTCGAGGCATCTTCTGGCAAAAAATGAGCATATGCTGTCGAAGTCTACGTATGGTTTTGTTTAGTAAAAATCGTGATTTTTTCTCATTTTTTGCTTATTTTTTCCAAAACAGAGGAATATTCAGGCTTATCACTCATCTCAATTATAAACATACCGAATTGTCGCGAGAGGAGCGAGAATTGATCGTTTTGAAAGGCGACGAACTGTTCGAGAAGCTAAGAAATATGTACGTTAATTTTCACCACATCGTTTGCTATTTTGTTGTCTTCTGATCGGTGCGGCACCTCTTTTTGGCGACTTTTAGTGATTTTCAGCAAGGCGATAACCCAGTAAACAATTAAACATCAAATTTCAAATATTAAAAATTGGTAAGATAAGTAACGGTCATTTGAAGGCTGAATCAAAAGTGGACGGTCCAAGTGGGGCGGCCAAAGTGGGGTTAAATTGATAAAAAAATTTTTTTTTGCGGCCATTGATAAGCCGAACTGTAATTTCTGAAGTAACGGCTAGACTGAATCGTGGAAAATACGGGATGGCCGAAAAAATCCTTAAATTTTAATTTGGAGTGGAATTAGTAAATGGATTATTATGGGAAAGAGAGTAGGGCTGTTAGTGTAGTACAAACCGTATGACATGTTGAAGAGTCGTGTGAAGAGGAATATTTAGAATTTGGTCTGCATGTGTTTCATCCTTTAGCTGTAAACACAAACAGTATGAAATGTGGTTAGGGATGGGAATCATCAGTACAGCCTCGTAGCCACCGCGTGAAAACGTCAAATACCGAGGTGTTTGAAAAGAGGCAAGGGGGTTAGTTAGAGTGAAAAAAAAAATTAACATGTAGCACGTAATTCTCATTCTTGCTTCGCTTGGGAACGGACTCTCCCTGCGTTACCATACTGGAACAGCTTGAAGAGTCATGTAAAGAAG